TTTTTCAAAAATAGAACCGAAAAGTGACTAGTGTAATCGCTATTTTTATGAATTTGGATTAGTCAGACCAATGAATTTTGATGGTTAAGTAATTTTTTTTTCTTTAATCACTAACAACAAGTTATGATTTGTTTAATCCAGAAAAGGAAATCAGCTTCAGAGATATATCAAATTTCCCAGTGCAAGAAGTTGGAGCTGCAGATTCATTAAATACAAATGATATTATTAAACAAGAAATGCCAAATGCTTTAGTCATGCTAAGGCTCATTATCGTTATGGTTGGGAGAAAACTTTCTCGTAATCCAAATACTTATTCCAGTATTTTAGGACTTCTATGGTCTCTTATCTCATTCAAGTAAGTTCTTTAAATACCCTAAAATCTAACTCCCTTCGTTTCAATTTATTTATTTTATTTTTCTTTTTAATCTGTCTGATCCGATAAGGACGTCTCTTTCCTTTCTTGACAACTCTTTAGCCACATTATTAAATGATCTTTTGGTACATTATAATTTACATATCTTTCACTTAAGACCATCAAATTATAAGTTTTTTTTTTTCTTCATAAATTTCGTATCGGATTAAAAGTATACAAACAAATTGAAAGAGAGAGTAATTATTACATATTACCCATGTAATTCTGGAACTTAATAAAGGTAGTTTAATACTTTTGGTTAATATAATATACTAATATAATTTTTTATTGGTTGTTGGCATTGTACTCCATAAAGGGTCATTTTAATGATGCCAAAGTTTAAATGATGGTTCAACCTGTTCAGAAGTCAAATAGAGGGACTAAACTTTAGTACTATCTTCAGAAAAGGAAAAAAAAGTCATTTACTTTCCTTGAATCATAGAGTACTTACTAACAAAGTTGCCTAACTTTTTGAGCAGATGGAATGTGGGGATGCCAAGTTTGGTAAAATATTCCATTAAAATAATTTCAGATGCAGGCCTTGGGATGGCAATGTTCAGTTTAGGTATGTCACATTATTACCAAAATTTACGTACCCCAATGAAATAACTAGTAAGTAATTGCTCGAAGAGCCAAGCGAGCCGTATTAGCCTAGCAACGTAACATTATATTCAATATGTGTATGGTATTTTTATAGGGTTGTTCATGGCACTTCAACCTCGAATAATTGCGTGTGGTACTAAGATGGCAACAATAGGGATGGCCATAAGATTTATAGGTGGACCTCTAGTAATGTCAGCCGCTTCTATTGCCGTTGGACTTAAAGGAGTTCGACTTCATACCGCAATTGTACAGGTAATTCTCAGGTCACTCAAAAAATATCTATAGATAAATATTTATAAAAAAAAATAAGCTTTGTAATTTTGAAGGCAAATAATTACCTATTACAATATATATAAATATAGCATGACTGTTTACGATTAAATTGTGCGTACTCCCTACAGAAATTCTACTATTAAGTTTTTTTTCTTGACATAATAATGTAATTTTTTTTTTTCATTATTGGTGCACATTAGTTAAACTCATTAACAATATATGTTACTTAATTCTTTCTAAATTGAACATTGATAATAATACCGTTATCAAATTTAATTCAAACAATCATATGACATAAAAGTTTTGGACATTATATTTACACTTAATTACATGTTTAGTGGTTCAATTCGTGCACCATGATGTTAATTATTGAAGTTTGTAATAACATTTTTCAGAGCATGCATGAACTCAAAGCTTTTAGTTGTTGAGAATTTTCATTTTTTTTCATTTGAAAATATTTTGGTTTGAAAAAAAAAACTCTATTTTATCATATATTATAAGTTTAAATAAATTAAGATAACTATAGGAAATAGAAAATTTAATTTTATACCTAATATTCAGGCAGCTCTTCCCCAAGGAATCGTTCCATTCGTCTTCGCTAGAGAATATGGGTTGCATCCTGACATACTAAGTACAGGGTAAGTTCATCTTAATTACTTTCGATCCCTTAGTTATTGATAAATTCTTATTTCGATTATGATAGATAATTTAACACATCTAACATCAATTTATTAAAATATGTGTTTTGGTCTCCTTTATATTAGAAATATGTTAGTATATTTTAGGGAAAAGAGTAAAAAATACCTTCATACTATATGAAAATTGAAATGATAAAAAATGCCCTTTGTTTATATTTTAGTCCATTTATGCCTTTACTATTTGTGAAATGGGCCAAAAATGCCCTTAGGTGTAACGGAGGCAACATAAAATATTTAAACAATTTAATTAATCTTAATTTGTCTACCCTCTTCTCTTTATCCGATGAACCCAACTCCTAGAAACATATTATCCTCAATATAATAATAATAATAATAATAATAACACAAGTATAACATAATACATAGATAAATAAATGATACTCCATGTGTGAAGTTTACCTTTATCATTTGAAATAAAATTTGGTAGGTTTGAGATTTATGAAAATTACTCTACTAAGTTTGACATTTTTTGCATCTAAGATTCAAGAAAGAAAAGTCTTAGCCAAAGTTTAGTTAATAGAGTATATAATTAATGGATGAAAATCATTGACATCGTCAAACTTCTCTTTATAAATTATAAAATCAAATTTTTAAATACCTATTTTGCCCTTGCATTATCAATATTTTTAGTAAAAGATGTAGAATTTTGAAATGACTTTATTCTCTTGTTTTGCAGGGTTATATTTGGGATGTTGGTTTCATTACCAGTAACCCTTCTTTATTATGTCCTTTTGGGGTTATAAAAGAAAAAATATTAAGAAAATCTTTGGCCCCCCATGCGGATAATTATGGTGTATTTACTTTGATCTAACCAGCACTTTGACAAGTAATTATATATTTAGAGTTCTCATACATGGATCAAGTTTCTTTTCTTGGGTTCCAATTTTGTAAAAGTTATGAAGATTATTGACTTATGAAAGTTAAATCATCACTATTATTAGTGTCCACGTAGATAGTGATAGAAAAATTATGTAAAAGATCCTTTGGGCCAAGAAATTTACTGTTTTCTTTACTTTCTTTAGTACATACAATATAATATGGTTTTGTGGTAACCGAAAGGGAATAAATTGTTACTATGTTATTGTAATTTGTAACCATAGTTATTTCTCTCTCATATTAAAAGAGTGAACAAGTAGCTCAATAGTTGACATAGTTGCTTCCTGTTGTTATTATTATTAGCTAGTAAACTAAACCGCGCTTGGCACAATTATAATTAATTTCATTGAAATTTACTTTAATTAGTAGCAATTGTATTTTAAAAATATTTTATTAGTAGGTAGATTTTTTAAAAAGAAATAATAAATATAATTTCCAGATTAAAGAAGTATTGTCTACCACCTCTTTAAGACCATAATTTTAAAACATATAAAATAAAGGATTAATTACAGAAATCTCACATTTTAGTTTATATATTACCATTATCCTCTATAAGTTTTACAAATCTTCAAAATCCCTCATTTTCATGCATCAGATTAGTGTATCTCGCGCATCAGATTAATGTATCAACGCATCAGATTAGTGTATCTTGTGCATCAGATTAGTGTATCATGTATAAAATGTAATATATCTTACTTAACGATTAATGTATCTCGCGCATCAGATTAATGTATCAGCGCTTATATTATTGTATCCGTTTGAGGGATTTATGTAATTATAAACTTTTAAGGGATAAATTGTAATTTTGCTTTAAAAGTATGTGATTTCTGTAATTTGCCCTAAAATAAATATCAAATTATTTAAATAAATAATTATAGGAACAAATGAATGTCCAATTGAGTAGTAATAAATAAAAAAATTACAAAAGAATAAGGAAAGTTGAGACTTTTGGGCTTCTAAAATATGGTGACGACAACGACAACAACAACGACGACAACAACAACATGTAGTGTTATTTGTTGGCTTGCCCAAGAATATCGTGACTTGTTAAAAAAGAAGCAACATTTTATTGACTTCTCGTCTAATTAAAAAAATATGAAATGTAGTGACAAAATATTTAGAATCAAATGTTAGTTGATTTAAGGGATAAGGGTCTGAAAAATACCCTAACTTTGGTCGAATTTGCTGTTGCGATACTAAACTATCATGAGGACCTATTACCTCCCTAGACTATTTAATACCGTATTTTTTACCCCCTGAATTATTTAATAGTGTATTTTAAAGGTATATACGTGTCTACGTGGACACATTACTATTTATAATTTTGCATTATTTTTATGTCCACGTGGGCAAATATATATGTTTAAAATACAGTATTAAATAGTCTATGGAGGTAATAGGTCCTCATGATAGTTTAGTATCGCAACAACAAATCCGACCAAAGTTGAGGTATTTTTCAGACCCTTATCCCTTGATTTAAATAAAATATTTATCTTATAAGATCAGGGATGAGATCTTCATATACTCTATCTTTTTCATATGATATGAAGCATTAAGTGAAAGTAATGTGATAGTATCATCACTTCTGAAACAAAATGTCTTGAACACCTGACAAAAAAATAAATACCATATGATATAGAGCAATGTATTTTTTTTAAAATTTTTTTTTGTGAGGTGTTCAAGACTTTTTGTTTGAGAAGAGATGATACTATCACATTACTTTCGCTTAATGCTTCATACCATATATTGATATGTGTAACAGTTTTTTATGTTTATAGTACTAATATAAAACAATAAAAAAAGCATTTTCCTCAAAAAATAAAAATAAAAATACATTGCTATATAGATTATTGAAGTCCAACAAACATGCACGTTCTTCCAAATATAAATACTTATGTAATTCTTTTAGAACAAGATTACTCATATCAAAATTTTATATTTATCGAATTAATTAGTAGTATCTATATTTTTCGTAATTTGAAATTTAAAAACACTTAAAATATTGACCAAACACAAACTAATAATAAAAGTACTTCTCAAAATAATTTAGCTAAATACAAATCGCTATTCACTAAAGACAAGTTCATTTTAGTAGATTAGCCAAAAAGACTATTATTATTATTAGTAAAAGGATACGTTTTAGTTTTACATCTTTATTACAAATCAATACATCTAAACATTCACTTGCTTGTTAAAAATCCAACTAAATTTTGCCGAACGTGACTCTAATTTCTTGGCTTGATTTTCCAACCTCCTAATCTTACGTGGAAGTCCGCACACAAAATCTTGTGCACGCCTCGCCTCCCCTGTCAAGGCTTCAAGCTTTTCCAATTCCCATTTTGTTATGAAAAATTCTAATATTTCAGCATAGTCACGAGATGTATAGACGCCTTGGTTTTGGGAAATGGCAGAAAAGTGCTCAAATATATTTGGATCTTGCCCATCATACATGAGGTGCAACGGCATAGTAATTCTCTTCTTCATCATATTCGCAATGGCTATCATAGTCGTGTTTGGGTCCACTTCTAGCAACTTCTCTATAATTCTTGTGTAGGCATTCTCATGACGCTTTTCATCCGCTGCAATAGTTCCACATATACGTGCTAGCACGGGGTCTTCACCTTCTGTAGCTAACCTAGCCATGTTACCATGCGTTAGAAATGTGGCTCGCTCTTGAAATGATGTGTACACAAAGCCCATATATGGATTGTTCTCTGCTCCGATGTCCTAGAATTCAAACATGATGAGCAACTTATATTTATAAGATGTATTTTCAAAAAATATGCTGGGAATTGCTTCTATCTATCTATCTATCTATCTATCTATCTATATATATATATATATATATATATA